AGTTTTAAAATTACGATCACTTATTTATCCATTCGTTTGTTTTTTGATTAAACAATGTATTTCAACAATGACTTTTTAAGGTAATTTATTTATTCGCCATCATCTGCTTCTTCCTTATCCCATTTATATGCGGTCGGTGTGGTATAAATCATAGTTAAAAATTTGTCGAGATAAATGAAACGCCATGATGGAATTTTTACATCTCTAATAATATTTTTTATTCTCAAAACAAATGAAAGCGTAGCGCGTTCGGAATTTAAAATAATTACAAAAGAGTTTTTATGTCTCGTACAGTCGGCGTAATATGTTTTTCTCTTCCATTCATTCCTCTTCGCAGTCATCGCGTTATTTACCTCCTTTCTTACCATATCATACACACAGTCCATCCATCTCTTTTTCGGACTTCCTCTTCCCTTATAACCATCCACATTCATATGTAACACCTTACTTAAAATATTATCCTCATTCCTACGCATTACATGCCCATACCATGATAGACGATTACTCTTCAACCTCTCTGACACCGGCGCCACTTTCGTATTATTATACATACAAATTGTGTAATATATTAAATTCAACATTTGTTTTATTTATGAAACAATGAAGTTTTTTAGACAACTTTTATAATTATTTTGCACCCGCTTTGCCCGTGGTCCGTGGTCCGCGTAGAATTTGATTTTTCAAACGCGGTTTAACAACAACAACAACAATCAAATTCTAGTGACAGCGCCAGTTTTTCTTTCACACTTAATAGAAAATATTTTATTCAAATAAACTTAAATTTAAGCACATTTGAATAGTCATCACATTTATACCTCATTCGGACAGCTGTCTCATCACAAGAAGAACGAGCAAGAACCTTGCGAATAATTGTTGTAACTTTACATTTTTAAGTTAAATATGTGAATAAAAACCACTAACTGGCACTAATTTATTGGAGTCAAAATATTTAATACACATTTCAATAATCCCAGTTATCCTTACTACTTATCATATTGCATTTTCGGAGATAGTTTATTATCTTTATATATGAGAGAATGTATGACCCACTTAGAGAAATTTAATTCCATTTAGATAACGTCATTGTGGATGAAAACATACCACTATTTTATCGAAAGTACATAAACTTCAAATTTTACGTACCCTGCATCCGGTTTCATGGAAACATTTTAATATAAATAGCAGTTTCTGTTATTGATTTTCGTATTATTATTGCAATATATGTATTGCTAGTTTATTTGTAATACTTAATTGTACGATAAATGTTTTATCAAGACGAAGATATAGGACCAATGTCTATGGTGCGTGATCGAATCAGAAATGAGATTCGCAGAAGAACCAGAGTGAACGACATACCCCGAAGAATAGCGAAACTGAAGTGCCAATGGGCAGGGCACAGCTCGTAGGACAGATGGCCGTTGGGGCAGTAAAGTCCTCGAGTGGCGACCACGGACCGGAAGTCGCAGCATGGGAAGGCCTCCAGCAAAAGTGGATTGATAATCCGGTCAAAATACTGGAAGGCATTCGATGCGACCGATCGTCGTGGAGATCTTTGGGATCGACATTTGTTTTGCCGTGCACGTCTTTCGTGCTGAAATGACAATGAAATGAAATGTTTTATAAAAAAACCAAACAAACAATTGACTTTAAAATAAATAAATAAAATCTTTATTCAAATAAACTTTTAGAGGCTATGTTGGGACCGCTATTATTTATTTATTTTTTTTATTTATATAACTTCAATGCACAAAATATAAAAGTACATATGTTAACGCAGCATTTTTTACTATATATTTATGTAAGTTGAGTGTTCCTTATATTGTAAAAATGATGGAGTCCAGTGATGGCTCTTTACATTATGTATATTGATAATAATAATAATAATAAATTTATTTGCAATAGATTTTGGGTACATACATATATGATGTTATACAAAAACATGGCCCTTGCAAAATCTGCTTATATCAAGCGTACAAATCTTAAGTTAATTAAATTATCGATTAAATATTTAGAATAGATATATATACAAGTAAGCGATTCTGTCTCGAATGACAGGATTCTTCTTGTCCTATCGTAACTAGGCAACGTTGTTGCCGCACAATGATGATGATGTCGCCACAAACTTAATACAAGCACTTTCGAATAGTAATATTTTTTTAATATACCACTCATTCGGAATACAGAGTCATCGGAAGAAGAACGAGCTAGAAACTTGCGTGTTTCCATTAAAATAATAATTTTGTCTCATACATATAGCAAAATAGTTATTGACCTAAATAAATAAATAGTTATTTGAGTAACTTTAAAAAAAATAGTTGATATTTCATTCCCCTTAGAGATAAGAGAATCAAACAAATAACAATGTACATAAAACCACTTGTAATTAAACAGCTGTCTTTTGTTATGTTAATTTATGTGTACATGTAACTAAATTATGTACCTACAGTGTATTGTTAATACAATAGGAATACGAGATGTTTTTGCAATAATATAGAATACTAGATTTCCCCTCGACTTCTCCGCGTGGAATAAAAGAAATTTTCTAAACTAAAATAAAAGTAGTAAGGTCCTACACTTAGGGCTTTTAAATTTAAAAAAGATTGAATATGGACTTTTTAAAATCACTAGTAACCAGACGACTTAGGCGTAATGCCGGTTGGTCAGGGAGAGAAACATCTCAATGCCTACAATATTCATAATTACCTATCTCTTATTTGTTTTTATAATAATATAAACACTTTCGCTCCAAAACTCCCGCTGCCTACGTTCAATTATCCGTCATCCACTTGTCAATGTCACATAGATTACTTTGGCTCTGGCCTCTGACGTTCCATTTCAGGTTACATGATTATTGACTTTACCATTTTTAATTAATGGTGCGTCACACGATAGTTAACAGACTGTAGCTTGATATAGTAATTGAAAATCAGTAATACAGGAATTTAATGGAATATTGAGCGTGTCGTATTCGGTGGCGAGATCAGAAGTGAGGGCCGGTCGATCCGTTGGTATTCGCACCCCCTTCGATCCGCGCCCCGCAGCATTCCTCGCGGACTCCATTCCGGCGAGCCAACGATATCCGAACAGTAGCCTAAGTTATTCCTTATTACATCACGTACCTGCCAAAAAAAGTCCCATCAGAATCGGTCCAGCCATTTCAGAAATTAGCCGGAAAACAGGTAGACAGACAAAGATTGTAAAAAATATTATTTTGGTGTATGTACGGTATTTATATTCATATGAATGTAGTAAAAAACGGTTACTTCAATATTACAAAAAGACACTACAATTTTATTTATATGTATAGATATATTGCGTTTGCAAATATTGCTTCCAATGACATTGAACAGTAAAACGCCATAAATTAAGGATTGTTATTATATAGGAAATTATATATCAATCATGATCTTTTTAATTGGTACATATTGAAGATATTCATTTACTAGCTGCGCCCTCGACTTTATCCGGGTGGAATAGTCATGACTTACAACCCCTTTTTAGCATTAAAAAGTAGCCTATGTCCTCAGGGTTGTCAGTTCTCAGGGTCTAAACTAGATGTGTACCAAATTTCATTTTTCAAAATCGGTTACACGTTATCTTCAAATTTTAATTCATTTTATATTTAAATCGTATTTTGATATCATTAAGGTCGTATTTTCAGTAAACATGTCTTCTAAATTATTTTGGTAATCTATATACTAATTAGTTCTTTGATCCATTGTAAGATGTCTCCATTTTGTAGAGAATTTCAGGATCTTGTGCACGTCATAGTTTTTATTGTCCCAACTGTCTTGTTCGGCTAGTTACTCCAGTTTAGAAGAACTGGCAAGAAACTCAAGTGGTACATTTTTTTATATATAGTTACAACACCTACAGTTGGACCGTGAGCTATTCTTGTTACAGTAATTGTTGAATTCTTTTGAATTTTATATTCGCACTAAGAACATTAACATCACAATAAATATAATGTAATTGAAATTAGTATTGTATAACTTTTAGGGTTCCGAGATAATATAAGGAGTCCATATGATCCGAGTTTGTCCTTTCGACCTTCAAGCATAGAGATATATTTCAGATTCTGCGTTTTCCAGCATTATGATATTTAGAATACATTTTATAAATGTAGATTTAATTGATCATAATGATAATGTAAAAATATTAAAAAAAAATATATTTTAAATTTATTTAATTGTTTATTTCAGATAAACTTGTTATGTCAATGTCAATTTTATCGTAATTCTTAACTATAATCTGTATGTATTAAATATAATCTATATGTATCTTAACTATAGTGTATCTATAATCCAGTAATACTGGATACTCGGAAGCTAAAGTTGATCTTGATGTTTTCTAAACCTAAAAACAAATCTAATATTTTATGCGTGTTTTTACATGATTTCTAAAAGTATTAATTTATAAAGATTATTATATATAGGTATATATATGTCCAAAAATATATGTTTACATTTTTTTTTTCAATATTACAATACCATAACCATACAATACATAAAAATATATGTTGTTATATATAAATATATATATAAATAATATATAATATATTAATGCGTTTTTATTAATTGATGTAAATGCATTTGTTTTCGTCAAATTTAAAATAACAAACTGTTATATGGGTGAAATTAATAGGAAAGAATATAATCCAAATAACTATCCGTCTAATTTAAACTATATTTGATTCATTTTAACACTTAATATATTCTTCTATTAACGTCTATGCATTGTGGATGAACTACACTTCTAAGTCAAACTTCTTCAAATCCATCTTAAAATTTAATATATTCTTCTATTAACGTCACACGTGTGTATACATTGAATTACATTTTTGTACGTTCATGTACTACTTCCTTAGGCATGCTGTAAATTTCTTATATGTTTACCTTACCACACTATATTTGCGAATTGGCCATCGTACATCTTACCAGACTATATAAATACTGGCTGTAGTGTCTTTCAAATAGTGTACATTTTATTATACGGAAATCATGACGTTTAACATAATAATATTTTCAGCAATTTTTGGAATATTCTTTCCATTTTTTAGTGTTAAAGCAGCAAATCAGACTGCAATTGACATATTTATTGATACGCTCAGTAAGTCACCTGAATATGCTGACAGAATTGCACAGTTGAATTTAACAAAACTAGTGAAGGAATTTTCCATACTGGACAGCAACTTATCAGAGGATGGGAAACGCAATTTCACGGAGTTAGCAAATGCATATGGCCACCAAAGTGAAGAGTACAACGTTACCACAGAAGACGGGTATATCCTTACTTTATTTCATATTCCAGGAACAGGCAGACCTTACTTACTGATGCATGGTCTCGCTGCCAATGCTGATTGTTTTGCTCTTAGAAAAAATAACTCATTAGCTTTTACTTTAGCTGACAAAGGATATGATGTTTGGATTGGCAATACTAGGGGAAACGACTATTCGTTTGGTCATGTCAAATATGATGCAAAAGTTGATGAAGAATATTGGGACTTCAGTCTACATGAAAATGGTTACTATGATTATCCTGCAATAATAGATTTTATCTTAAATAAAACATCCCAAGAGAAATTAACACTAATTGGACATTCACAAGGTACGATCAATGGATTTGTTTTAGGATCACTCAGACCTGAATATAATGATAAAATCAATATCTTTATAGCATTAGCTCCTGTCGCAGTTTTTAAGCCGAGAGGTATACTTAAGCCTTTTTTAAAAGTTGTACCTGCAGACACACTTTATTCTCTGTCAAAGGCATCGGGTTTCGATGTAATACAAATAAACACAAATAATGTGAATAGAAATTTCATAGAGGTGCTGTGCACACAAAAAGTTTTAAGTTATGAAATATGCTGGCAAATTATAATATTTTCTATGATCGGCAATGATGCTGAATCATTTGAACCAGAGTTCTCTAGTGTTCTTTTTGGTCATGTTCCACAAAAATCTTCGAACAAGAATCTCTGTCATATAGCACAGCTCAGTAAGAGAAATAAATTTGCTCAGTTCGACTACGGCACAGTCAAGAATCTAGTAAAATATGGAGCTCTAAATCCACCAAAATATGATCTCAGTAAAGTTACTATGAAAGTAGCTTTATTTGTTGGTTTTAATGATTATGTAGCTTCAATAGAAGGCGCTGATATACTAAACGCTGAACTTCCAAACGTTGTTGAATACACAATTTTACCCAGACCGGAATTCAATCATTTTGATTTTATTTTAGGAAATCAAGTTCAAGATAATTTTTATCCCTTTTTATTTGATACCTTAGAAGAATATCCATAATCAAGAAGATACAGAATGTGTAAACAATTTCTTTTCTTTAAATGAATATGTAACATATTGGTTTAAAATTAATTACTTTATGGCATATAAACAAGCTTTCTACACAGTTATGCTATTGTTAAAAGAAATAGAAATTTTATAGTTACATGTATTTTAGGTAAATTCTATTATAGTAAAACCAACTGTGCCCGCGGTTTTACCCGCGTCAAATTTATAGTCTATGTATGTGTTATCTTGATGTATAAGCCATATTACTGTAGAGTTTCATCAAAATCCATTCAGTAGTTTTTTTAGTGTGAAAGAGTAACAAACATCCATCTATCTATCTATCTATCCATTGATACTCACAAACATCAGTAGGATTGTTGATTATTTTTAAATCATTCGAATACTATGTAACTGCTATTGTAAAAACTATATGTACTTCTTTAATTCCATGTTTTTTGATGACTAGAATAATAATTTCTATAGACTATGTATTATGCTATATCATATGCGGTTTGCTGACCCAAACAATAAATTGAAGTAAATGTGTTGCTTATTATTTTTCCGAAAGTTTTTACTGAAAAATCGCCGTTTATTGTTTTCTACTACACGGCAAACAGACTATAATAGTGTTAAAAATATATCTGAAACAGTAAATTTTAAAAGGTCTATACTATTCTTTGAATTGGTAACTGCAAATTCTGCATTATTGTTAATAATATTATGCAAGTATATCAAGGAATTAAATCTAGTATGTAATGAGTTTGTATTGCGATATCTTTACAGTAGTTTTTTTTTATTTTATACTTTGTTGTATCTAATTAATATTGTTGTGTGCTTGGTCTTATGTTTGCGTGCAGTTAAATTGTTATAAAATTTGTTATACATTTTGTTGGAAACTCATCTATTATTTCCTCCTCATATACATTTTTAAACCTGAACTGTTTCCCTGGGTCTACATAAATATCATCAACCGGCTAGACTTACAGCTTCACCGAATCATAGGAGGTTAGTGCAGATAGCACTCCAAATCTGAGGAAGGATTTATGGAGCGGCTGACTGACAGATATGACTTCAGTCTGAGGGCACTGCTAGAGGTTCGAATCCTGGCTCTGGCTATAATATTTTTTTATACATTGGTAATTTAAATGGTATACCTACATTTTTTATTTTTAAATGCACTGCCCACATAGATCTCTGTTTGCCCAATGGTTGACTGGGAGAAAATACCTCATGGTGTTAAGTCCGCCATATGCATCTATATTTGTGTATTTGTGCATAAAAGATTTAATAAATAAATAACACAATGACATGCAAAATACTTGTATTAATAAATAACACGAGTGAATGTACTATTTTCTTACAATTTCTTTTGCTTCGCAAGAAATTTAATGATTTACCAGACAATATAAATAATAGCTGTTGTGCATTTTATTATAAGTAGTAATAATTTTATTATCTTTCAAGTATGACGTTAACGAAGATAAAACATCTGGTGTCTTGTGCAGTATTATTTTCATTAGTGAGTGAAATTGCTACAAGTCAGTCTTCCATACTAGATTCTTTATTAAATACATTGATTAACTCTTCTGAAGACGCTGCAAGAATAGGAAAGTTGAATTTAACTGAATTGGTGACGAAATTTTCTTTACTAAACGAGAACTTATCAGAAGATGGGAAACGTAACTTCACGGAGTTAGCACATGTATATGGTCACCATTGTGAAGAATACGATGTTACGACAGAAGATGGGTATATCCTTAAATTGTTTCACATTCCCGGGAAAGGCAGACCTTATTTACTGATACATGGTGTCGTTACCAATGCTGACTGTTTTGCACTTAGAAAAAATAACTCACTAGCTTTTACTTTAGCTGACAAAGGACACGACGTTTGGATTGGTAATACTAGAGGAAACGATTATTCTTTAGGTCATGTCAAATATGATGCATTTGCAGATGAAGAATATTGGGACTTTAGCCTACATGAAAATGGTTACTATGATTATCCTGCAATCATAGATTTTGTATTAAAAGAAAGATGCCAAGAGAAAATAACACTTATAGGACACTCACAAGGCACAATAAACGGATTTGTTTTAGGATCAATGAAACCTGAATACAATGAAAAAATTAATATTTTTATAGCATTAGCACCTATAGCAGTGTTCAAACCAAAAGATATACTGAAGCCTTTTTTAAAAGTAGTACCAGCTGATATTCTATATTCTCTGTTGAGAGAGTTAGATGTGATACAAATGATTACACACAAACTAAATAGAAAATTTATAGAGATACTGTGCACTCAAGATGTTGGAAGTTATGAAATATGCTGGGAAATTGTAATATTTGCAATGATCGGCAACGATGCTGAGTCATTTGAACCAGAATTTTCACATGTTCTTTTTGGGCATGTTCCTCAAAAATCGTCTAATAAAAACTGGTGTCATATAGCACAACTCAATAAGAGGAATAAATTTGCTCAGTTCGATTATGGCACTGTGAAGAATCTAAAAATGTATGGGTGTACCACACCACCAGAATATGATCTCAGTAAAGTTACAATGAAAGTGGCTTTATTTGTCGGTCTTAATGATTATGTAGCTTCAATAGAAGGTGCAGATATACTAAATGATCAGCTACCAAATGTAGTTGAATACAAAATACTGCCCAGGAAGGAGTTCAATCATTTCGATTATATTTTAGGAAACCGGGTGCAGGAAAATTTTTATCCTTATTTATTTGATGTATTAGATAAACATCCGTAAATAACTAAGAAACAGTCAGTAGTTCTTATAATATATATGTAGATATACAACTGCATATAGTAGTAAAACTGTTAGCCAACATATTTTCAGTTAATTAGTACATTATTTCAGATTTCTTTTTAAGTTTCTTGTCTATACATAGATTCATTAGAACTCAGTATTACAAAATACCTATTTCTCCACTTACTAAACCTGTAACAACCTTGCATAGTACAATATATTATTTCTGGTCATTTGTTATTATTATTTTATTAGCATTTACTTTAGCTAAATTGTAAGAGTTATTGATTAAATTAATAAATACATAAATTCACAATATCTACACCAATTTACATATGACCTTCTACAAGGTTACTTCATAAATGATGTTCCAGGCCAAAAGTCAGGTAGACTAATCGCGAAACTAAATAACATCAATAAACTTCCATACAAAAATGTCCATTTTTGTATAATAATTATACTTTTAAAACTAAAGTTTATTCTAAGAGCATGTTTAAATATTGAAACAGCATTTATTAATAAAATTATAAATTATTTTATAATTTCAATTGAATTGCTTTAAAGAATCTTTTGTAGGCTTTAAGTATCTGTTGTGTATTATGGGGGTAAAGTCAACACTCACTTTCAACGCCCTATTGTTTCCTTCCCTGCCTAGCCAAATCTAGTAGCCACTAAAACTAATGATGAAATGCCAACAAATGAAATATACTCAGCAAAATGTGTACATGTGTAGTGTGCACCATATCGACAATCATTAACAATACATCAGACTATCTCATCCTGGACAACTGTCTTCAAGAAGTGTTATAACTTAACATAGAGCTCTTGAAATTTCAGCCAGAGCGTACTATTTCCATCAAAAATCTTCTAAAACGGGATTTAACATCCCAAATAAAAGCTAAAGTCCCAAGATCGATCGTTAAATGGAATGGGTTGATATGTTTATTATCATTAGTGTAGAAAACACAAGGAAATCGGTCTATTCCCGAACACAACTTTTATGTGTGTCTATTTATTCACTTTGATCGTGTGTGGTCCGGTTTGAACTAGAATTAACCGGAGTAATGTTTAATGAACATAATTGTTTATTTGGGAACAAAAAAATTAACGGTACTTCTTAAATATACCATTAGGGAGTTTGCTTAGAAATATATAGATAAATGCATAAGTAGTGTAGTAAGTATGAAGTTACTGAGTTGGTTACGAATTTGCGACAATAATAATAATAATCTCAGGACAATTCACAGAGCGCCATCTAGACCCAAGTTAAGCTAGCTAAAGCTTGTGTTATGGATACTAGATAACTGATACAAATAGGTACATTTTATTTCGTAAATACATAAATATTATACATAGAAAACACCCAGACCGATACAAAACAATCATACTCATGAATACAAATGTTTGTGCCGTGCGAGGAATCGAACCCGTAAAGCGGTGTGCTGCACCGATCGACCACAGAGGCCCTCAAGATGTTGTTTGTGATATTTGGTAATTTTTCAAAAATTTATTAACCAAGTATTCGGTGGTCTAGCCATCAAACTGAATCTCATAGTAGATTCAACAAATACAATAATATTTCTACATTTACTGGAATGGGAATAGAATACGTGACTCTTCGTTTAAACAACAGCTGCAACGGTGTCGTCGATAGTTCGTAATTGCAATAATACAAGTAACGGTCACTCTATTCTTCCAAATTTGAATTTAAATGAATCTAAGTTATTGTAAACATGTGCACACATTTATTTTAAAATAATACGAGCAGTTTCTTTTCAGTTCTATATCTTGAAATTTTTACGAAAAAACGGTAGATTTCACATATCATAAGAGTCTGTAATAGACACATGAATAAGATATTTTAAATTTGAAACGGAAGATGTAAAAAAAAAATGGACAATTCACACAGTATATATTTAGCTTAACAGAACTTGTGTGTGTTATGAATACTAAAAATAATATATATTTTTAATTGATGATAATGATTATCTTCTAAATTGATTATCAGATTATTATGTATAATATTTATCTTTATATTCATATATATTTGACATTTCTCATTTATATTAGTCCCCCCATTAACCTTTCTCTGCACCACTCACGGTTGACTGGTAAATAACGCGGTAAAGCATTAAGTCCGCCATATGTTCACATTGTTTTTGTGCATTAAAGTTAAATAAATAAATAAATAATGGAATAGTGCACTCGCCAAATTTCTCGCTGGCAGGTCACCAGTGGAGATGAACATGAAGTCATGTACAGAACAGTACACGCACCAAAATATCCGGAATTTAACTTTTTTTTCTTAATTATTGGTACTTGGCTTTAACATCTTGTAAGTTTTTTTTTTTTTTTTATCTCATGACAATTCACACAGCGCCATCTGGACCCACGTTAAGCTATCTAAAGCTTGTGTTATGGGTATAGATAATGATACAAGTATAGATATTTTTTTTTTCGTAAATATATATTATTATACATGGAAAACACCCAGACTTCGTTACAAACAATCATACTCATGAATATAAATGTTTGTGCCGTGCGAGGAATCGAACCCGCGACCATTATTTCAAGCGGTTCCTAGATCGTAAAAGGTCGTCAAATTTAAAAATTCTTATAAAAATAGAAATATAAAATTTTTATTATTAAATAGCGGTTTTATTACTATACCTATACCCGCGAACTCGTAAGTTTGATTCCTCGCACGGCACAAATTTGTATTCACAATTATGATTGTTTGTATTGGTCTGAGAGTTTTCAATATGTATATATTTTAAAAAATTCTAAATATGTATACCTGTTGTCTAGTACCGCTCACACAGCTCTGCTTAGCACTAGATTGTACTCTGTAAGATGCCCTTAGATATTCTTATTAATAAACAAAATAAGTACATTTTAGTTTTTTGTTTGCTTTATTTTTTATATTGTAACATTATTACAAAAAGCACTGAATAAATATTTTTTCTTTCTTTCTTTTTATGATATTGTAACAGTCACCTTACTGATGTAGGTACATTTATTTTTAAAGTACATTCAATAAAACAGGATGGCCGTTATGTTAACATAATGAAATCTCATTAGCGGCTTGTTCCTGTTCAATTATAATTGAACAAAGGAACAATGCATTTCATTATGTTAAGTTGAGCTTAAGTGGCCTCTACAGGTTTACCGTGCTAAGTAAGGTTAATTTTATTATGTAAGGATAATAGTTCTGTTGTAACGATGCATCTTTAACTCCTATTCTAAAGAATGACTGTTACAATATTATAAAAAGAAAGAAAGAAAAAATATTTATGTCTGTCTGTCTTTTCACTACAATTTAAATAAAAAAAACAGTCTGGACCCTGAGAAAACTAAAATGTACTTTTTTGTTTAAAAAGGGTTGTATAAGAAGATGAAACGTTCTATGGAAGTATCATCAATTTTAAAGATAGAAACTTGAACCTTATTTTTTAGCTTATGATATTCAAAGTTTGTACTAATTTTACAACTGGAGTGAAATAAAATATTTGAAATGGAAATTTTTTAAATATATACATATTGAACGTAGTCGCAGACCAATACAAACAATATATATTTACGTAAAAACATAACATTGTTATGTACTTGTCTTAGGCCTGTACATAGCAAAAACACCGATGAAAGCAGAGTAATAATAATCCTAGATATAAAATACGCTATTTACATAAGTGAATTTATTAAAATAGAAAATTCATACATTCATACAGACATAAAAAATAGATATATTTCATATTATAAATATTCAAACTAACGACTGGTGGCCAGTATATGACACTGGACAATTAACACAGCGTTATCTAGTCCCAAGCTTAGAGCTTGTGTTATCTCCAACTGATATAAATAGTTAAATATTTTTTTCTAAATATATCCATAATCTATACATATAAATAAAATTATGTCTGTTTGTAATATTGAAATAACCGTTCTCTACTATATAAATATAAATACGGCACATACACCAAAATGGCATATTTTACAATTTTTGTCTGTCTATCTGTTTGTTCCCAATCTCTGAAATGGATGGAGATTTTGACGGGCCTTTTTTTAGCAGGTAGCTGATATAATAAAGTAACTTCTACTTTATATATATAGAAAAATAAAGTTAAATTCCATGCGGATGAAGTCGCGGGAACTGCTAATACATAGATATATTTTTCTATGTACTATATATACAAAATTTATAAGATTATCATTATCAGTAGTAAAGCAATGTAAAAATATATATTATTTTTAGCAGTCGAAAACACACACAAAACGTTACATAATATTTAATTTTTTAGCGATAATGACCGCCCATGTGTGAATCTTTGTCTCGTTTTTGTATTTTTTTCCGTTTCATTTTATAAATTGTATATGTAATTGTATTTTGTGTGAGAGGAACAATAAAGAGTTTCATTCATTCATTCATTCATTCATTCATTCATTCATTCAGTCAGTCAATATTCATTCATTCATTCATTCATTCATTCATTCAATCAATATTGATTTATAAAGATACTAAACTGTAGACTACCATGTTTAGACAAGTACCCATCACACAAACTCTGTTAACTTGGGACTGGATGACGCTGTGTGAGAATCCAGAGTTTCTTTTTACTTTACTTGTATTTATTGCAATTACCAACCGTCGCCGACACCGTTGCAGCTGTTGTTTAAACGAAGGATCACGTGTTCTATTCCCATTCCAGTAAATGTAGAAATTATTGTAGTCATTGGTAACTCTATTTTTTTAATTTACTACGAGATTCAGTTTGACCGCTGGACCATCAGTTGTCCAGTTCATTATTATTGTTATTTATAAAAATACTAAGGTAGTGTCAAGAAGAAGGTTTACGATCAATATATATTGCTAGTGATGATTTACGGCTCAGAGACGTGGTCACTATAAGCTCAGTGTCACTCAGAGGGTAATGGAGGGCTATGCTCGGAGTTACTCTGCGTGATCGAATCAGAAATGAGGAGATCTGCAGAAGGACCAG